ATATATATTTTTTTTTTTTTTCCATTTGTACTCCTTCATCTGAGAATTGTCTATCCATTTCAAATGCCCATTTTTGGATTGGGTCTTTAAATTTGGGGTGGGGGTGATTTCTTTGATTTCTTTTTATATTCTAGATACCTTTACATTCTAGATCTTTATACACTCTAGATCGTCTTTTGAGGAACAGCTGGCAAAAGTTTTTCTCAATCTATGGTTGTCTCTTCATTGTGTTGATTCCTTTTGCTGTGCTTTTTAATAAAATGAGATCCCAGTTGTTGATTCTCTGTAATATTTCCCATGCAATCAGGATTTTGATCATAATGTCTTTACCTACACCTGTCTTCATGAGTTCCACCTGTTCTATCTTTCATCAGATTCAGTGTTTGTTTTAATATTTAGATCACTTGATCCATCTTGATTTTAATTTAGTGCATGCTTATAGATATGGGTCTAGTTTTAATTTTTAGCATGTGGAAAGCCAGTTTTTTCAGCATCATTTAGTAAAGAGGTATCTTTATTCCAAAGAAGCTTGCTTGGCCCTTTGCCAAAGATAAGGTGAAAGAGTGTGTTTGGAGTTGTTTCTGCATCTTGTATTCTGGTCTGTTGATCGTTGGGTCTCTTTTCTTTGCTAGTACCATACTGTTTTTATAACAGCGTCTTTGTAGTATAATTTCAGGTCAGGGATTGTGATACCTCATGCCTTTCCTTTGTTGCTCAGAATTATGTTTGCTATTCTAAGTCTCTTCTGGTTCCAAATAAATTTTAGGACTGCTTTCTATAGTTCTGTGAGGTATGTTATTGGCATTTTGATTGAGATTGAATTAAATCTGTATAACAATTTAGGGAGCATGGACTTTTTCATTATGTTGGTTCTTTCTACCCATGAGCAGGGGATATGTTTCCATCTTCTGATATCCTCACTGATCTCCTTTTTCAAAATATTGTTTTCAATGTAAAAACCTTTTACTTCTTTGTTAGATTGATTCTTAGGTATTTGTTTATTTTTTTCTTTTTTTGGATGCTATTGTGAAAGGTTTTGTGTATAGAATGCTATTGTTTGTGTATAGGATGCTATTAATTTTGGAATGTTGATTTTGTATCCAGCTATGCTACTAAATTTGGTTATCAAATCTAGAAGTCTTTTCATGGAGTTTTTGGAGTCCTTTATGTAGAGTACTGTGTTATCTATAAATAATGACAGCTTAACATTTTCTTTTCTTATCTTTATTCTTTTAATTTCTTTCTCTTGCTTTGCTCTGGCTAATGCTTCCAGAACCATATTAAATAACAGGAGTGACAGTGGACAACCTTGTTATTGATTTTACTGTGAAAGCTTTCAGTTTTTAACTGCTTAGTATGGTGTTGGCTCTTGGTTTGTTATAGATGGTTTTTATTAGATTGAACGAAATACTACACCACTTTTCTGTAGGGTTTTTATCAAGATTAGGCATTGGACATTGTCAAATGTTTTTTTCTGCATATATTGAGATGATCATGGGATTTTTTTCCTTAGCTCTGTTAATATGGTGTATTACACTTACTGATTTGCATGTATTGAACTATCCCTGCATCCCAGGATGGATCCTATTTGGTCATGGTGTATAATCTTCTTGATGATTGACCACATATTGTTTACCAGTCTCTTATTGAAGATTTTTGCATCTATGTTCATCCAAGACACTGGAACTCTCTTTTTTCAGTGGATCCTTCTATGGTTTTGGTGTTATACTTGCTTCTAGGAATGGCTTTGTGTTAGAACAGCAATTAATGCTCTTGAGACTAAGAAAACAATGCAAAGAATTAAAGAATAAATGAATGAATGAATGGTTCTTTTTTTTTTAGTACTGGGAAATGAAGGGCTCCTTAAAAAATTAAATGAAATTGATAAACCCTTAGCCAATCTTATCAAAAGAAATAAGTTTAATTTTTATAATGCTTATAACAGAAGTTCTAATACTACCCACTATGAACACACACACACACACACACACACACACACACACACACAGAAAATAATACCTAAAAACTGGAGAGGCAAGAATTCATTTTATAGGCCTTTTTTCTTGTCTTAAATATTTATCTTCTCTCACAGCTTTACATTTAACAATTCCCTTGTACAAAGATACAATGTTAAAATACCATTGAAAATCTCATGTCTTTTGCATTTAAGCTTCATGAATATTTTACTTGAATCTCTGCCCTCAGGGGCCTTGCATCACTAGAGCATTATACTCTTTTTTGATGCATAAATTATTCTAAAAATGCATCCAATTTCAAGCACAATCAGCCTCAAAAAAAATCTGAATACAAACAGGTTTGATTTGATGCAGTTTGAGTATAAAAGTATATGTTGAGAGAAACAATTTGTAACTTGTTTTACTCTCTGTGGACAGTTAGCACTTTTCTAAAAATTTACTCCAATGGTACATTTTATATAAAAATAACTAATTTTAGTTCCTTTCCTTTTACATGGAATATTTATCACCCACTAGTGTCTCAGAGATGAGGTCAGTCACACAGGATACAGTGATCAGTACTAGAGAGATATTTCCTGCCCTCATCAACAAGTAAATCATTTCAAACTGTGGAAAAGGATCAGATAAACAAAGGAAAGGGAGAGAGACTGATAATAAGAATAGTCTTTTATGAGGCTTTCCTTGTAGGAGGAAAGCCCCTGGAACTGTAGAAGAGAGGGCAATTTTGGAAGAACTGGCAGACAGATGAGCCAAGAGAAGAAAGAATTTGGCATACTCAAGGAAGCAAGCAACCAGTAAGTTGAAGTGAGGGCAAATGCCTGACGTTCAGTGGAAGATCAGACAAGGTCAAGATCTCAGACTTAGTAAAAGGCCTTGTTGAGGGACTGGACTTCATTCTAAGTATCACTATAGAGTTGTCAGTAGAGGGCGGGGTGACACAATCAGATTTGCAGTACAAGAAACTCTCTTCCAACACTATGCAGAGGTGGATTTTAAACTGGCAGGAGGCCAATATTCTGTGGCTTGGGCCAAGATAATACCCAGAAGAGAGAAGATTCAGATAATTCAGAAGATAGAGAGTAGATTCAGGTAAAAATCATTTATTTTGTTCAGTGGCATTTAATAACTTCCTTTAAAATATTTGCAAGAATATATCAAGAAGAATGAAATGTATCTGCTGGAACCACAGAGTCACAGAGTCATAAGAGAACACATATTTCATCCAGTCTAGCATCTTACTTCATATTTTAGAAACTAAAGCCTCTTTTCTTTTGATTCTATATTTTTTAACTGTATATAAACACAAAGATTGTACATATTATGGTTGCAGTTGTTTAAAGGTGTCCTGGGCCTGGGGATGTTTTCAAGTTGGATTAGGCCTATGGCTAGCAGGATCATGCTGTTTCCCCCCAGAAACCTGTCCATGGGGAAATGTGGTGTCCTCAGGGCATGGCGGCTTCTCCCAGAAGAAGAAAGAAGGCAGAAGACACAGAAGCTTTTTATCCTGCTCTTGAATATTACACACTTTTATGTCTTCAATATCCTATTGCTTATACATATTAGTCCTAGTCTGTGAAAGGGAGATACACAAAGCCTGACTTCTAGGAAGAAAGTGGTTGGGGAGCTACAATGGAATTTGAGTACATGAGGAAGAAACATAATGAGCTAAATTTTCATCTTTTGCTTTTTTGTACCAGGGATTGAACTCAGGTCCTTATGCTTGCCAGGCGAGCAGTAGAACCACTGAGCTAAATCCCTGGCCCTAAATTTTCATCTTTTAATGCAGGAATACAGAAGAAAACGCGCAGAATTAATACATCAGAGACTGACAGTTTGCATATTGATTTAAAATAATAGTTGATGTGATGGAGCCAGCTCATACAATCTCTTCAGTCAACTGCTAAACTTTCAGAAATGTTGTGACCTGCTTAACATAACCATTACTAAAAATCAAAACAGTTGTTGCACTTTACTGTTATCTGTATGTGCTCTTGAGGTGAATCACCGAGTTCGTGTGGTTGAATTCTATGCAACAGTGAGCTGTGACTCAGTGCTTCCAGTGCTTTGAAAGATGAATGACATCAAGCAGGCAACTGGGTATCAGTCATGACAAGAATGTTTATACCACAGAAATAATCAAGCACGGCATATCACAGCTCAACAATGTTTTGTTGATTGTCTAGACTTAAGAAAACAATGAATAAAATATTAATAATGCTGATTAAATTCCAAGTATGTCATCAGAGGGGTGACTAAATTGTAAATAGTCCAAAATTTTGAAGAAACAACTTTACATTTACATATCACATCACTGATGAACAATGAAATTCAGGCTATTTTTTTTTTTTTTTTTTTTTTTTATTAAGAAAGGGCTCTCTTTTTTGTCTTTTGGGCCTTTTTTTTTTTTTTTTTTTTTTTTTTTAATGAGACAGGGTCTCACTTTGTAGTTCATGCTGGCCCTGGACTCATTATGTAGCTCACGCTGACCTGGAACTCATGGCAATCCTCTTCCCTCTGCCTCCCTATGTTTCTTTTATTTAACTTTTATCTCATTTATTGAAACAAAAATATTGATTAACATTCATACTGGGTGAATTAAACTGAGGTAACTAATAACTAAGGTGTTAACCTAACAGCATATTATTGCAGAAGACAAATTAGAAAATGCAAAGCTAAATAATTGAAAGCATTTAATTCTGAGCTGTGGGATTAGTGGTGGCAAGGGTCAGAGCAGGGTGCTGTTGTTTTTTACTGCAAACTTTTTTGTATGATTGGAATATTTTTAATCATGTACATTTATTATTTTTAATTGAAAGTTATATTTTCAGTTTATAATTAATTTACAAAATTGATCTTGAAGCAAATTATTCAATTTACTCATGAAAGTATCATTGTACTTGCTCAGCCACAAGTTTAGGAAAATTATTCTGAAAATAAAAATCTCCTCTCTCTCTCTCTCCTCTCTGTCTTTCCCTCCCTCCCTCTTCCTCTTCCTCCCCCTCCCTCCATCCCTCCCTCTCCCACTCTCTGTTTTATATGAGCAGTGGTGATAACTATGCTTTTGTTGTAGAATAGCTTTTCAAGAATAGTTATATGGCAGACAGTCTTGGAAGACAGACATAGTGTTTCTCTTCAAAGCAAAGAGCATATTTTCTTGCTAATATAATAGAGGTATTTTCTCCCTGAAAGGAAAGTGCCAGTGATTCTTACTACTTATAAATAACACAGGCACTCTATACTTGAGGGTTTCCAGCTATCTCATAAATCTGCTGCACGTTCAGCATGCACGTGGAATGCTGTCACTTCTATGGAATCTGTTGGGAAAGACAGGCAGAGCATCAGTGCAAAAATGAAGCTTGTGCCACTTGCCATGTGGGAGTAATAAACTCTTTTTTTCTGTGACCTAGGAATTTCATGTCTCTTGTCAGTACTCATGAAATTATTAAGGCTAACTTCCTGATTTGCAAGTGGGTTACACTCAACACTCCCATCTATCTCTAAAATGTCTCAAATCCACCAAATTATTAATAATAAAAAATTACCTTCTATCCTAAAGTAGTTACAACAGATATCATATGTAAATCCACTTTCCCTATATTTATTCATTATTTTATGGAGTTTTATAAAGTTATAAGAATTATTTTTTGAAGTATAATACTGAGATGATCAAAAAGTGTAGTATAAAGTGGTCATCTGAAAATTTACTCCCACCTAGAAGGGATAAGTAAAGATTTGAAGTGCTTCCAATTTCTTTTTGATGTCTTAGCTTTTCATAAATGATTTGCACTAAAGGAATTACAACTCACTTAACTAAAAATTGATATTAAAATATAGATATAACTATAAATCAAAAATAGAGAATAGGATTCAGATATGAAAAAGCAACTTTAATGGATAATTAAAATGTGAAAAGATGTATAGAGTCCTCATTGGTCTTTCAAGGACAGAGAAATTAAAACAAATATGTTGTCATTTACAATCACACTACTATAAGAGGCAGATTTGTTTTCATTGCTTTTCTCATTGCTGGGACAAAATATTCGAAACCAAAGTTAAAGGAGGAAAGGTTTATTTCAGTTCAGTTTGTAGAGGTTTCAGTCCATAATCGGCTGACACCAAGGCAGGATGGCATGGCAGAAGGGACTAGCAGAGGAGAAACAGTTCATGGTGTGGCAGGCAGAAGGTCTGCAAAGCAGCAAGTGACAAGCAGCCAGTCTGCTCATTCTTTTTCTCCCATCCAGGCTACAAGCATTTTGAGTGCTATCACCCAGAATTATGCTAATTCCAATCAGTGGACTAATTTAGTACCACACACCCTTAATGCCTAGATCCGGTCAGCTCCAAAATGCTTCACCTGTGAGTACATGAGGCTTTGGGGGGACATCTAGATACAAGCCGTAACAGAAGGAAACACCAATAGTTATTTAGAATGAGGCACAATGGCAATTCATATTCTACTGCTGGGAGCAACAATTGGAACAACTTAGTAGAGCAATGTGGCAACAGGTAGTGTATGTGAAAATGTTATTACCAGCAGCTGCACTTTACTTAGCTTAGGGAATAACCCTCATATATGCCAAAGAGGAATGTGCACTACAATGTTCACTTAAGCATTAATTGTTCTAGTGGAAGGAATAATGAAATTACTCCTCTCAACAGCCACATTAACACATAACTATAGTTGATTTGATTTATTCATTCAATGGAATCTTGTATAATAGTAAAAATAAAGAAAACAGAATTGCATGTGTTATCAAAATATGAGAGGAAAAAAAGGAAAATTAAAAAATATGAAATATCGTG